ATTGAGATACACAGATATGTATTTTAGTAAGCTCCTCCATCTAGTTGGAAGGAATTCCTTAGCATGATTTCAAATAATTACTATCACCTAATAATTTCAAATCTATCTTGATATGATTATTTAATTCAATCTTAAACTTCATAAGGAAACTATCAAATGTCAAAATTTGAATTTTTTTCCTAAATGATAAATATCAAATCTATGCATTTCAATTCCACATATATCCAAACGGATCATTAAGTTCAAATATTAACAAAGGATGGAACAGATGGAAAAGATTAGGATGATATATAACTTATAAAATCAAAGTAGGGTGGTTTCACATACAGAAGTGCTAATGACGTATAATGTAATTGATATATACTAACAAAATTGGAAGGAAAAAAATAGAGAAAATAAACTATAAGGATAACAACGCTTTACAAGACAAAACACTGGACAATTAAAAAACACTATATTCATAAAACGAGGGTAGTTTATATAAGGATGCTAAGATGAATGTGTGATATGATTAAGAAAGATAGATTTATAAATGTATATATTTGTCAAATGACAAAAATAACAACAATCGAAGATAATAAGAGATACAAATTAAGATGATTTAGTTGTTTACAACAAACATCGGTAGATGTGATGGTAAAATGGAATAATATGATCATAAAAGTTCGAAATGTTATAAAGTGAGAAACCTAAATTGACTTGAAACATAGTAGTAAATATATATATATATATATATATGAATGTAAACTGACCTGAGATGTGATAGTGAAAAAAAAAAAAAACCAAACAAACAAACTTGAGTTTCTTTAATTTAACTAAGCATATAGCACTTGACCAAATAAACTAGCAAATTCTAAAAGAATTAATATAGCCAACGCCACATAATTAGATACGAACTTAGTTTGATTTGATTTAGTTTGGTTATATTATATGGATAGATCTCATTACAACCTAAACTATACCAAAAAATGACAAACCCTTTGATAAAGTGGCACAACCTTGAACACAGCATTAATTATGAATGTTGATAGGCATAACTACATTTAGCTAAAGGTTAAATTAAAGGATTGGTGGGAACCCATTTTTCGTGGCTTTGAGTAGAAAGAATAACCCAAAAAAAAATTCTTGATTCTGAGAATAGGCCCCCATTGGCTTTAGATTTGAGTTAAAATTCTTACATTCCATTCCAAAGAATCTTATGCTAACTTTTATTTTCTTTTTTTCTCTCCCCAACTTTTCTCCACAAGGAATATCATTCCGTGGTCATTTCTTTCTTTTAGTTTCAGCCAATACAGTCACGTGTGGTCAAAAGATCTCCATGTATAGGCGTTTTACGCGTAACAGCCTCTAATGATTGGCTAGCCCATAAAAATGATTCTCAATTGCTATTAAACAGTCTAAAAAGGAAATACAAGTACATGAAATGAAAGAACAAATAGCCCTGTTCTCTCTTTGGGTCTGTGTGTGTCTAAAGTTGAGAATATCATACACCAAGTAAGGTAATAGCAGTTATATACCAGTGGTAAAAGCTAAGTGCCCCCTTCCTGCCGTACATATATTAATACCACAGAGAGAATAACAGTTAGGAGAGGGGCTTTATGGCAACATCAAGGAAAGTTAGGTAAGTACTTTTCATGTACCCATAATTGGAAAGATCATTGGGTCCTTAACAGACATGACATGGAATGAAACTTGCAGCACCACGTTTATACTAATATATGCTTTGCTATAACCACATAAAACCATCTAATAATTTCCCTCCTAGCCAATTAAGAACTTCACATATTGGAAGAAAAAGGTCAATAACAAAAACAAAAACAAAAAAAAAAATAAGAAAAAAAAAAAGCTAAAAGCAATTATCACTAAAACAACCCCATTGGGTATGGTTGTGCAATCAATGTTACGGTACAAATGAGCTATAGAACTCTCATAATATGGCCAGTCGCTCCGAAATAAGGCATTCAAAAATCATGACAAAATAAGGATTAGGGAACTGGTAATTTTGATTGTTGAATACCTTGCATGAGATGGGTATCAAATTAACAGTGTTTAATCACTAAATAGGCATTTGGAGACTTTCTCAAAAAGTCACAAAATCAAAAAGCCACAAAAATTGTTTGTCATCAACTAAAAAGGCCAAATCCCGCATCAACTTTTTCACTCACAAAGTCAACTTTTTTAGCGACTTCCCAAACACATTTAATAGCTTTTTTAGCTTCTAAAAAAGTCAAAAAGCCAACAAAACACTAATAAAACCAACCCCAAACCCACCCTAAATAGCGCCCTATGAAGCACGAATACTTCAAAAAGGGGGACGTATCCGTATTGGATACTTATTGGATACCGATACTCCTTGGATACTTGCAGATACGTATCGGATACTTAATTTTAAAGTATCGGATACTCGAAGTAACATATTACTTATAATATTTTGTTTTGTTCTTTGATAAGAGGAATATAGTGAGAGTTAAGTAATAGAATTTGTCAAATTGATGTATCCTTATTGTCTCTCTCACTTCTCTCTCGCTCTCTCACGTTTCTTCTCTCTGCTCTCATTCTTTTTTTGGTATTGGCATGTAAGGATGGTGTTTTATTTTATTTTGCATTTGCTTTTGCTTTTAGTTTTGAATGTTTTATGAATATTTGAAGACTTCTAGGTTAATAGGAATTCCTCTCTTTATTTATTAATTTACTTTAAGTTTTATTTTCATGCATATTACATTATTAAAATTATAAATAAATAAAAAATTACGAACGTATTCCCACCGTACCCGTATCATACTTCTTCAGATTTTGACGTATCACCGTATCCATATCCTTATCCGTGCTTCCTAGATTGCGCCACACATTGTCTGGATCATATCATAGTAGTATAAAATGGCAAAAACTAAATTAAATTTAGGGGGTGAGAACTTGTTAAGTTCAATTCCCTGCATCACACAATTAGATTGTGATTTGTTTATGCAATCAAATGCCATCCAATAATTGTTAAAGCTGTCATATTGAATCCTTGATATTTTAATGCATAATGTGATCATAGTATATTGAAAATTTCATATACCTGGAGGTATTTAATGTTGTAGCCTGCAAGGCACAACATTATTTCCCTAGTGCAATTTATTCCTATCCACATGCCAGCAAACTATTAAGGAATTCTGCTTTAACACTTTAACTAAAGGCTTCTTAGATTCTCTCAAACTGCATAAAATATCGTGACATATCAGAATCAATTGATCTTCCTAAAAAGTTCACCAGGAGCTAATGCAAAAATGCTCTTCAAGGTGTATATATATAATACACAGTCATATGTATCCATATAAGAAAAGAGGTCATTTATTTTCAATGTAAACTTAGAAAGTTTGTTTTAGACACTAAGAACTCCTTAAACGGGCATCTAAAAATTAGTAGCATCCTGAGCTATTTACAAGTTTCATTTTTCAATTTGTTAGATAAGCGGATATGTTCTCAATTGCTTAGTGTACGAATTTATTCTGCATTAGTTGTTGATCATGGAAGTATTATTCTTTGTGTTTTACATACAGGATAATTCCTGATCAAAATTATCATAAAATCTACTTAAGTATATGAAATAAAATAACATAAACATGATAGTCCAATACAACAGTTTGGTAATGAGTTATGGCTTTTCCCAAGAGGCTAAGAAAAACAAGTACTATCACTCTCCTCTAGCATGAATAACATCATGTATGCATATACTATGTACCATCACTTGTAAACATAGACATAATAAAGTAGTAAAAAAATTATATACATTTTAAATTTTTATGAATCTACAAGTTCAAATATGGATATAGAAACTGACTGTAGTTATGACATAAATAACTAACACTTTCATGCAAAACTGTGAAGAGCAGGAACTCATCCATTTGTGAGGTCATAAGTGATGTATTGCATACCACATGCATGCCTAACAAGTTTTAATCCATAAGTGCAAAAGAATAATAAATGTAATTGCATAGAGAAGAGTCTGTAGATTCATACCAGAGAATCTGCAGAGCCAACCAAGGCTAAAGTCAAGAGCGGGGGCAAGTGGTCCTCTCCAGGCCATGATTTGTCATGTCTTTCATCAAATGCAAGTATGGAAGCAAGTACAATCCTTTTTTTTCTTTTAAAAGGGTCCCAGCAGCTTCAAATTCGTCGGTGCAGGGCCAGCTGTCTAATGCCAATTGAAGAATGAAAAAGATTTGGACCCCCTCCTATTTTTAAACTGTGTGGGCTGAATAAGTACCAAACTTACTGAAGGGGACAAAATAGAATGAATTCCTTATTCCATTCCTGACCTTCAAACAAACCCAAGGAGGAGGAGCATCTCTCCCCATTTTCATTTATCCTTTCTTTTGTATGTATCTAATTCCAAATTTATAGATGCTCAAGTCAACAGAATCTTCTTTCACATTCCCCAAATTTAATCAGTTATATTTTTCTTTTGTGTCTCTATCTGAACTCCTCAATATAAACAATATGAAATTAGTACTTATTTGCAATATCATTAATTTAGTAGGAACATAGGCGAGTGAAAAATAATTCAGAGTCCAATGTGAGGGACAAAGCAATGGGAGTTCTAAGAATCATCCATGTGGAAAAGAAGGTGGCTTTGAAGTTTTCAAGACGACAGAGATAGTGGATTCCCCCCATCAAAGTCAGAAAATTCCCCTCTTAAATCCGGGAATAAGGTTCTTACCTTTGCCAGACGAAGAATAAAACGCACAGAAAAAGACTCTGCTGGATCTATTCTGGTACCTATTGTAAGGTGTAAAGTGTTAGTCGTGTTTGAGAACGGAAAGTGAAGTTATAGGACAGGGGCCACCGATGGGCAAAACTGGAAGGACAAGATCTCTTTTTGAGTAGCTGTGGAGATTAGATTGGGCACTGTGTTCTGTTGGCTCTGTTCAAGATTCTATGCTTTGCTTGGACCCTACCCTCCCATCTCCCCAAAATTGGCTTTATAAGGACAGTGTTGAGCAAACCTTTGGTCTGTGAGAATAGGTCAAAGAAGACAGCAGATAGATAAGAGCACTTGTAGACAGGTTTCTTTGCCAAGTATCAGGACTCCGGGCTGTACTGTGAAGAACTTTTAGCCGAATCATATTTTAGACCTCTGAAGGAAGCAGATTGCATCAAGAGTCATTAGAACTTGTCAGGTAAAAACGCAATTGTTTATGAATAAGATCATAGTAACTGTTTGTACTCTTTGCATGAAACTAATCATAAATCCATCATTTTGAAGGCAGATGTATCATCATCACCATCATCAAGGAAAGAACATCCACCCCTCCTCAAGAGGGTCCATTCCTCCAGAAAGGCATTTGTTCCTGCAATGGGGGAATGGTGCAGGAGATTCTGGACTTGTACCTTCGACCAATACAAAGCCTAGACTGAAATGGACAAAAGACCTCCATGAGCAGTTCATAGAAGCAGTAAATCAGCTTGGAGGAGCAGACAGTGAGTGCATACAACATAATAAGTTTAAGAAGAAACCAAAGGAAAAATGTCTAATGCTCAACTAACTGAAATATCTCTTCTTTGTTACAGAGGCTACTCCAAAAACAGTTTTGAAACTTATGGGGGTTCCGGGACTTACATTATACCACTTAAAGAGCCATCTTCAGGTAAATATTTTAGGCCAACCATAGTTACTTGAAAAAGTCTCTGAGGTCTCAGATTTTTATTTTTATTTTTTAGGGGATTGTCATATTTGTATACTTGTATATAAGCACACAGATTAAGAATAACTCCTCCAACTTTGGTTTGGCAGAAATACAGGCTCAGTAAGAATCTCCATGGGCACTCTAATATTGGAACAAACAAAATTGGTAAGAAGTTAAACAATTGTGGAGTATAAATTATTTTGAGGTACGCCAACTACTGGCAATGGAATAACTTACAGAATTTAGGAATGGTTGTAGTGACAGGAGAAAGGATGTCTGAGGCAAATGGAACTCATATGAGTAATTCAGGCATTGGAACCCAAACAAATAAGTAAGATCTCAAAACCCATTTCATGTTCTTTCTGCTCCTTTATCCATTCCTTTATTTTCTAAAAAATACTTGAACTGATACTTAAATTATGAAACCTTTTATTCAGAAGCTTACATATAAGCGAAGCAATACGGATGCAAATTGAAGTGCAGACAAGGCTACATGAACAGCTTGAGGTAAAAAATACTGAGAAATTTCCTGTGTGTACAATTATAGGAAGCCTTTCTTCAATGCTATAATAAAAAAAATTCAGCACCAATTCAAGATAAATCTAGATGTCACTTACTTCAATCTAGAAGACAATACATGAAATGGGAAGAAAGAAATAGACAGCAAACAAGTTAACCAATTATACAGATGCATAGCTATACTACCTTTAATCAAGAAAGAATATTAAAACATATTTATCAGATATCAACATATGATGTGTGCACAATATTCTTCTTACATATATGCATTTTACAAAGAAAGTTGAAGTATATCTAAACACAATGCTTCAAATTGACAACTATGATATGAAGTGCACCTCATCATTTTTAGAGACAGAGCATATCACATGCAACTTTATTATAAAGCAACTGCTATATTACCTTCCAGGAACATGATAACCAACATGATAACCAACATAATAGCTTCAGACAAAACTTGCCCAGAACTAATGATTTTGCCAGAATTTGTATTCATCTTCATTAATCACATGCTTTTTTAAACTGTTAAAAACACCATTTCTAGATCTTGTCTTCTTTCAAAAGTAGGTAAATAATTTTTCCAACTACGTTTTGAATGAAATATGTCCTGAAATGAAAACAGGTACAGCGGCACTTACAGCTCCGCATAGAGGCTCAAGGCAAATATCTACAGGCTGTGCTGGAGAAAGCCCAGGAGACACTTGGAAGACAGAACTTGGGTACGGTCGGACTAGAGGCTGCCAAAGTTCAGATATCTGAATTGGTTTCAAAAGTATCCACCCAGTGCCTGAATTCCACTTTTTCAGGGCTGAAAGAACTGTCAGGCTTGTGCCCACCACATCCAACACAAACATCCCAGCCTACAGATTGTTCCATGGACAGCTGCTTGACCTCCTGCGAAGGCTCTCAGCGAGACCAAGAGACACACAACAATGGAATTGGATTAATAACTTTTAATGGTAATGCACGTTTGGAGCCAAAGGAGTTTGACAATGAGCCTATGTTGCAGCAGACTGAACTCAGATGGTGCGAAGACATGAAAGAAGACCGGAAATTTCTTTCCTCGATGAACAAAAACATAGAAAGAGCATTCCCCATAGAAATAAACTCCAATGATTTATCTATGGGAGTTGGATTTCAAGGAGGAAATGGAAATAGCAGCAGAAGCTATTCAGATAGAAGATTTAGAGGAAGTGATGAGGGTCTCAATTTCCTACACCAAACTACCAACAGAACAGATTCAGTTTCAGTTCAACGGGAGGATGAGAAGATTTCATCACGAGGTTATAAAGTGCCTTACTTTGCACCAACATTAGACCTAAATGCCCGTGATGAAAATGATGCTGCTTCAAATTGCAAGCAACTAGACTTGAATGGTTTCGGCTGGAATTGAAAGGGTTAGCTGTAGGCAGAAAGAAGACGAGCTCTAGGGGAAAATAGTACTTCAATCTTTGATTTTACATCAGAGAATGAAGTTAGGACTCGTCGCAGAAACCTGCTTCTCCCTCATTCATGTTGTTCATGTTGGGGGGATATAATAAATTGAACTAACGAAAGTAGACTGCATCTCAATTTGTAAGTTAAATAGCTCCGGCAAAAGCAGTAATTTTATCATCTGGTATTCATCAAGGATTTACAAACGAAGGATGTAGAGCATTAAATTAACGAACATCAAGGATTTACAAACGAAGGATGTAGAGCATTCAATTTCACTTTAGAATTATAATTAAGGAGTTGATCACAATAATATTTAAAAATAGGAGTTGATCACAATAATATTTATCTGCAATCAAGACACCTTGAGAAAATTTTGGTTGGATTTGGTAGAGTTTTCTAAATATGATTTAAGAATAAAGTTATATTTCGAGTTTGTGAGTTTTAGAATTATGATTTGAGTGAAAAAAATTTATTTGATAACAGAGTTTTGAATTGAGTGGAGAATTTTTGATGTAACATATGATACTTGATATAAAAGTTTACAGCTCATAACCAAACACACAACTCAAAATACTAAATATGATTTAAGAATAAAGTTATATTTCGAGTTTATAAGTTTTAGAATTATGATTTGAGTGAAAAAAATTTATTTGATAACAGAGTTTTGAATTGAGTGGAGAATTTTTGATGTAACATATGATACTTGATATAAAAGTTTACAGCTCATAACCAAACACACAACTCAAAATACTATTAAAGTTCATAAAAAATTTTAAAAGAATTGAAATTTTTTTTATTGAATATATAAAAATTAACATGGGTCAATTGCAAAAATAAAAAATAAAAAAAAATTGCACTGTTCCAGTCAACCGGTTGAATGACCGGTAAGACGTCCAGTGGGACGATCGCTTAGCCCAAATTTTTCCACCTTCGACCGCATTTTCAAAAGTGAATCTAAAATTAACTTTTAAAAATCGTAAACAAACAGAAGCTTTGTATTTCTGTAATATTTTCAAACACGAAACATCATCCTAAACTACTACAAGAAAGCTGCAAAATAGTCCAGAGTTGCTTCATCCTGCTAAGATGGGGAAGCTTTTCATAAGCAGTCCGCCTTCATTTGACAATGACTTTTTTTAATTCATTTTTTGACTTTTTTGAATTTTTTTGTTTGAGATTTTTTTGTTTGTTTGGTTTTTTTGTTTAATTTTTTTGGCTTTCGAATGCCAATTTTTTTTTTATCCTTTTGTAATTTTTGACTTTTTGAGTTGGTTTTTTTTTCTTTTTTTGTCCTTTTGTGATTTTTTAGCCTAAGAGGAAAACCAAACTGATTCTTAAATTGGCTTTCAAACTTTTTGTTACATGATAGTGCAACTTGTCTCTGAAGAGCGGGTAGGACTGATCCAGGCCTCCTACACAGTTGTCCAGTCGTTGGGCCTACGGAGAAACCTGCACAAGCGTTCAGCGAGGAACAGGAGTCCCCCAGCGAACCCTCCGACGAGCAAGTTAGAGAAATAATAATGAATGGAATATTGAGATTGGATTGTGATAAAGAACTTAACCTTCTCTCTATCTTAGAAACCTGCTTATATCATTTGCTCATCATTTCCTTGTCCACTCCAACCTGCCATGTTGGCCGAAAGTTTATGCTCTAGCTTGCATTGGTCGTGGTGAGGTTGTCATGTTCCGACGTGAAGGGGTTACCGTAATAAATGCTGCAGGGGACCTCATTAATGGCTGATGTGTGGTGCAATAACTCTGCAGGATCTTTATCTGCTTATGTGGCTGGTTCCTCTCTTGACACGTGTTTTGATGTCATTAGTCCTTGATGTAACGTTAGACTCCAACAATGTTGGGCTTTAGTGTTTGAATTATGTATTGGGCTCTAAGTGGTGGGCCAAAAGCTCCTATAAGCCCACCTATGTCAGTAGTCTCCCATTCCCAAGTGCAGCTTCCCTCCAACAAAGGGAATAAGGAAGAAAACAGGGGTTGTGAGAGGTTGATGGAGAGAGGACTGATTGGGATTTGGGCCGACCGCGAAGGGTGACCGAGTGAGAAGACAGACTGCGAAGAGGGCCTACTGCGAAGGGTGAGCTAGTGAGAAAGCCGACTGCGATGAGGGCCGACCGCGAAGGGTGACTGGGTGAGAAGGCCGACTGCGAAGAGGACCGACCGCGAAGAGTGACCTAGTGAGAAGGGGAAACGGTGGCGCGCGGGGCTCGAAGAGCAGCGTGGCACGTGATGATGTGAAGTGGAATAGACAGGAAAGAGGAATAAAGTAGTGGATCATGGTCATACACGTGGCACAATCCCGTAACTAGGGAAGTGATACGTTAGCAGGAAATGAAGGGATAGGCTAATATAGGGTGTTGAAGAGGTGGGGGTGGAAATTTTTGAAAATTTTCAAACTAGCGAAATTTAATCTTAACCCTTGAAATATAGGCAAACCGTAGGCGTTTGGAGTTATTCGCTTTACCTTCCTTTTTGCAAAAAACCAACACGTCCCACAAGTGAACTCATTTGTTTCGTGTGATACACCTCTTCAACACTTTGCGAACTTCCTTGTGCCAGCGTCTGAAGCTATACATAGACACATAGGAGAGACGGCTCGAGATGAAGGGCTAACCATGAGACTAGATTCTTTGGGGGACGACGACGTAGTGGAATTGGTGGAACAGTATCGGGTGGAGCGAAGGGAGGAGAGGGGAGCGGAGTAAGTGGTGCGGGCTCGTCCGACGACGATGATCGCGGCCACTAGGCCAATTAGCCAAGTGGAGCTGGACCACTGGCACACCAAGGCCGACAGGTCAACATTCACGGCAGAGGAGTTGAAGAAGGTATGAAGGAAGTACCAAATTCCGGCAGAGATAGAGCTGAGGGTGCCTACAGCTAAGGAGAGGGCGTCAGATGCACGGTCGGCATAATTCTCGTTGTATGAGGAAGCATTGCGAGGAGGCCTAAGATTGTCGATCCCTCAAGTAGTGGTAGACATACTGAACCAACTGCAGGTAGCGCCGGGGCAGCTGATGTCCAACGCATGGAAAATTATAATTGCCTACGCAATCGTATGGCCACAGGCGACCGATGGAGCGGCGATGACAGTGGAAGAATTTTTTCTTGCTACAAAGCGTCCGATCAACAAGAGACGTGGGTGACTTTGCAGGCGGTGGCAGGTAGGGGGTTAGTAAGTGGGTTGCCCTCGTCGGTGAAGGGGTAGAGGCCGAGGTGGTTCTATGTGTTAGCAAATAATTGGGGGGGAGTGCGTACGACATGGAAAGTCCCGACGAAGTCGATGGAGTCGAAGTTAGGGGGCGGAGGCAGAGGCAGAGGGCATGGTGAAAAAGGTGAAGGAGTGAAGGGAAAAGGAGGGTGTGAGGTGGGACGACCTTGTCCGTTCTTTAGCGCTATGTGCCTTAGGTTTAGGACCGCAGCCGATAAAGGAGGACCTCGCCCTGGAGGAGTTAGAGGCAAAGTGAAAGGCGGAAGTGGTGGAGGAGCGAAAGACCCTACCTAGGGCAGAAAAATATAAGGAGGCTCGGCTGGGGCCTGCTCCGAAGTTAGTGATGAGGGAGAGAGTCAGACCTCGCCTAAAGTCGTTGGGAGGCAAAGAGCTGACTTACTTTGCCCCACGGCTGCCCCCAGTAGACCCGCTGAAGGAGAGGGGTAAGCAGGAGGTGGCGGCAGCGTTGAAGAAGGAAAAGAAGAAGAGGGCGGCGGCAGAGGGTGTAAAAGGGAGTAAGGATGCCCCTGCTCTAAAGAAGATGAATGAGAGGAGCGCGGAGGAGATGCGAGGAAGGGAAATTTCCCAAGCAGCAAAGGAAGGCGTGAGCCCAAGAGCCCAAGTGCTAAAATAAGATATGGGTCCGAGCGTCCAAGTGCCAAAAGAAGATATGGGTCCAAGCGCCCAAGTGCTAGGAGAAGTCATGGGCTCACATGCCCAGGCGGAGGCGACGTTGAGAGTTGTGGTAGAGGTATCTCCCAGTTCTGGTGAAAGGAGAACTAGGAGTAGCAGACCAGAGGCAAACACCGCGCTAAAGACCGCTATGTACCATATGCACGCAGTTGCAGATTGGTCGGCAGAACAAGGACAGAAGGCCAGGGCAACGGCCGACCGACTCGTTGGAGTGCTAGAGGATGCGGCCGTGCGGTCAATGGCGCAGTTGACAGAGGCCGACCTTCTAAGAGGGGTCTGCTCGGCCCAGATGGAGGCGGCGACCTTGGCGGCTGCCCTAATGAATAAAGCAGTGCGAGCAAAGATGAAGGTAAAGCCGCTGAGGACCCATCTAGAAGGGGTAAAGGCGCAGCTGCAGAAACTGAAGGCAGAGACGACGGGTTGGAAGAAAACCGCTCGAAGTGCCTACGCGAAGGGGCTGGATTATGCGCAGCAGGCGAAGAATATGGAGGTATTGGCGGTGGTGCAGAGCTATGCAGTAGAGCGTGCTAGTGCTGAGCTCCTCGCAACCAAGTCAGAGCTGGAAACGGAATGCCGCAAGGCAGTATCGTTAAAGTCTAAGCTGGCAGGTGAGAAGAGGCAGTTAGAGTTGGTCTAGCAAGCTTGCACCACCGCCAATGAGAGGTGGGAGGAGGCCATGACCAACAACGAAGAACTTCGTGACCAGGCAATCAAAGACAGAGAAGAGGTAGATGGTCGGATTGCGGAGTTGGAGAAGGCCTTGGTAGAGGAGAAGCAAAATTGGCATCTGAGAGGGCGGCGTACCCCAACTTGTGTACGGCGGCCGTGGAGCAATTCAAGGAGTTCGCCGAATTTCAGATAGCCATTGATGTCGTTGTCACTAGTAGTTTGGCGAAGGAGGGGGATGAGGGGACTGGACCGTCAGGGGCGGCCGCTGGAGGTAGAAGTGAAGAGGAAGTGATCCAGAGCTTCCAGCGGTCTGACTTCTACAAACACAAAATGAGCGAGTTCTGGGACAGCGGCTGAATGACCTTCAAACAGAAGGTGCAAGAGCTGTTCTTAGACGTGGACTTCAGCCTCGTGAAAGTAGGCAAAGACGACGTCGCCTAGTCCCCCTTGGACGAAGGGATTGAAAAGGAAGATCTTGCCTCTAGTGAGAAGGAGTGATTGGTGTAAAAATTTTCTGTTTGTGTGTTTTGATTTTTTATTTATTTTTTTTTTGGATGTAATTTGGTGCAACGATTTGTATGAAAGTGCAAGGTTATGAATAAAACAACGA